TGTTGAAAAAAAAAAAAAACCACTTTTTGAATGGTAGTCTTCTCTTAATAAGAGAGGAATGGTGATTTTATTTAAAATCTTCATTTTATATTTCGAATTGTATTAAATTATATTAATGATCTGTTGATTTAAGTAAAAAAAATCTTAAGTTTGAATTTTATGATTCTAAATTAGTTAAAATTTAATGGAGTTGTCAGATATTAGGAGATTAATAAAAAAATATATTAAATAATAAAATAAAAATTATTAAATAAAAAAATTTAATATATTTAAAATTATACAATTTAAATTATATGATATATATATTTTTTGAACATTTAGTCATAGGGTCGGTTCGAACTGTTATTCTTAAAAAAGAAAATATAAAGCTTATAAAAGTGACTAAAATCATTTGGTTCACAGGTCAAGTTCTATATGACACAATTTTTTCTTCCTTTTATTTATATTATATAATATATTCCAGCAACAACTATACATTTATTTTTGCGCAATTAGAGACTTGTTCATCCTTATATAAAATTTTGAATGGACAAGATGATCCGAACAAATTGCCATCCAATTTCGTTATTCTTAGAAACTTCGACATCATTAACTTTAGCTACGGAGAAAGCCTGCTCGCAGTCTTGGACACTATCCCCAGCTAATTTTGAGTCATAGATTGCCGCCATTGTCTCACCCCTCTTTACTTCTTGGAATGCAGATTGAAGCAAATGCACGGTTAGACTATATCTATTCACACACTTGTCCAAGGGCTATTCACACACTTGTCCAAGGGTTCCAGGATTTCGGGCATGACACTGGAGGTAAACGTATGCTGTGCATAAAAAAGTGACTTCTGTGCGTGAGCTAATGCCAACTCAAGAACAACCCTGTATATGGTCAGAACATCTGTTGTGAAGGCAGATCTGGGGTCCGATTCAAGAATGTTTGTGCAGAAGTTGGAGTTCAAGGCCTCCGCGCATACGCTTTTAATCAACTGGGATTCTGCATTGGCTTGTGGGGGAAAATGGAAGAAGAGACACAAAAAGATTGTGAGGACAACTAAGAAATTTGAGGTATTCATGATGACAGGATATCCAATTTGGTGAATAGCTTAAATCGGTTGATATTATAGATAGATTAACCATTATGGAAATAGAATTTCTTTTGTAACAAATCTCTGCAGATACTTAAAAAAATTTTGTTTTTCTTTTAGAGTAAATTGTATAATAAAAAATAATTCTTTTAAATCTTTTAACCCACCTCACCTAGCCCACCCTCATACTATATAATTTAAACACAAGAACTTTTATTTTTATTATAAAGAACTTAACTTATTAGTAAAAAAAAAAAAAAATTTGTAAATAGTATTACCAGTTACTATTTTTTTTAAAGAAAAAAATCAACAGACATTGCGAATTGATATGTTTACAAACAGCAGACAAATCTCTGAATATGGATGCTGGTATGATTTTGGTTTTTTTTTTTTTTTTT